AAAAGGATGATTCCCCTTCGCATGAAATCGAACCATGCACCTCCTGCTTTCCGGGCAGACGCATTAACCACTGTACTAGAAAGGAGTGTGTATTATTCGTTTGTTCCGTCTTACGATCGAAGGGGAACACTTCGGTCGTAACACTTTCCCATCACACGAGATTGATGGGCGAGTGCTGTGTGTTGCTTCCCGGCTAGTGCACCAAATTGTTAGGTCCGTCGCCTTCGTTTATTTCTTTCAATCCTTCCTTTATACAAAAAACAAAAAACACAACTGAATTCAAAACAAAAAGCAACAAAATATGTGCTTTTTCTTTCTCTCTCTCTTCCACCAGTCGGCTCNTTCAAAACAAAAAGCAACAAAATATGTGCTTTTTCTTTCTCTCTCTCTTCCACCAGTCGGCTCCATCTCATAACTATGATAGAGGGATAAAGATGGCCGTCTTATGTCAGGAGATGTCTCTACTGACATAACCCTCGACATACGTAGTAATTATGCAAAGTCATTATTAAAATGATTCTCCGCAAAATAAGTAGCGATTTCTAAGAAATTCAATGAATGAATAAATCTGTAGAAATTTTACAACCAAAAACTTTTAAATATATTCCTAGATAATTATTTAAGTTTAATTTTCGACAAAAGATAGAATTTAAATACGCTTAACAGACAGAACTATATGCTATATGCATGATTTATAGTCTAATTCTTTCGAAGAATTCTTTTAATATAACTTTTTCATTCATTTTTATCGAGTTTTCTCCTTATGCTTATCACCGTCGTATAAAAGAGACAATTTTCTTTCTATAGAATAATCTCTTCCTGAGGAATTTCTAAAAAGAATTTTACTCGAAATATTCGAAATGATTTCATATACTTGCTACACTCAAGAGAGAGAAACAGTAGTTCTTTTCTAATAATACTATCACTTCAACGCGATAAAGAAAGAGAGAGATCTCCTTTAATTCTTATGTTTTCTTCTCTAGTTACTATTCCTGCTAATGCCACGGAATAATTTATATAGAGTTTAATAAGAAATATTCTACTTTGATTTAAGAGAACGAAAACAATTCTAATAAAATATTTTGATCATAGGAAAAGACAAAATACGATAAGGAAGTTTAAAGATAAAAATACTACGTAATAGTCGATAATATGAAATATCGGTTTCTAATATTCTTGTGAGTCGTATATTATATGTGTCTGGGGATACAAAATTAACAAGTTCATTTAACAAATAATTTAAATATTTTCACAAAGATTCATAGCGCAATATTCGTTCTTAATATGGTCGTTTAATATTAGACGTTCAACAAACATCACTCTTATATAATTTAGTTGAATATAGACTATAGATATTGTTTAATCTTTTTTTGAATAATTTCCTCAAAAGAAAAATTGAGTTCATCACTTGAAACTCCGATGAGTAACGCAGTGGCGGATCCAGGAATTTTGATAGGAGGCGGCGCGTTCTAAATGACATAATCGGATGCAGTTATAAGAACATTTTCGAAAATATATAAATTATAGTTCATAATATCCCTATAATTTTATCCAAACAAAACAACTTTGCTAGAAATAGAATTACATAATAAATCTAAAAAGCTAATCGACGATTGAATTTATAGAGAAATCATCGATTATAGTCTCAACATTTACATGCATATTTCTCGACAAATATGCATCAAAGTTAAATCATTAAGGCGTGTTTCAGAGATTGTCGAGCGTAAATATGTTTTAAGTAATTTAAGAATTGAAAAATGATGTGTTTGAGGTTGAGTGCTATTATTTGAACCTATTTTTTTCTTAAAAGATTTAGTAATGTGACGATATCCTTTTCTTCACTCCATAGAAACATGTATTGAATATATCAATTTTTTGTTTAGAGAAAATACTGAAAATCTGTGTCGCGCAATTAGACTGTGATTCTACAACTGATATTATTTTCTTTCATTTTGAGTAGTGTAAACTTGCTGATTGTATCTTGAATTGAAGCATCTTAGAATAAAGCCATGATGAATTAATACTTGTTATAACCAACCAATCCCATTTTTATAATTATTTCTATTACTTTTTGTAGAAATCTGATTATGAAGTTAATTTTCTTATTGAAAGGCATTATATTTTTTTTTTGAATAGAAGAGTTGCAGAAATATCATTTCGGGTAGCATTTAAAAAAAGCCAAAAACGAAACTGAAAATCTATTTATATTCTTTAATCTACTTACTATTCAGACCGATGGCAACCAATCATATTTTTCGATTTCCTTCGGTTTTTTTCGGTATTCTATTCTTGATGTGCCGAAAATAGATTTCCAATAGTGTTGTTGAGGACATCGAAAATCGCACGCTTTTTTAATGTCTGCTTGTGTTAACACAAGACAATGTAATTCTGGCGAAGAATTCTTTTAATATAACTTTTTCATTCATTTTTATCGAGTTTCCTCCTTACATATAGACTTATTACCGTCGTATAAAAGAGAATTTTCTTTCTATGGAATTTTGCTCGAAACTTTTGAAATTATTTCATATACTTGCTATACTCGAGAAAGAGAGAGATTTCCTTTTATTCTTATTTTTTCTCTCTTCTAGTTAATATTCCTGATAATGTCACAGAATAATTTATATAGAGTTCAATAAAAGATATTCTAGAACATAGAAATGTGCGATTTTCTAAATAGGAAATGTTCTACTTACGTTAGATTTAAGAGAACGAAAGCAATCCTAATAAATTAACAATTTAAAAATATTTTGATAATAAGATAATAAATACAGCCTAGCAAGCTCATATACGAAACATAGAAATTATATTAACCATTTCTAATATTCATGTGAATCATATATAAGAAATAATTCCTTATAATTATTATGTGTGTCTGTTCACAAAAAATAGACTAACCCTATCCCATGAAAAACAATTTCGAGATCATATGCGTTTCAATGCAAGGTTTTAATAAAAAGTAATTTAAATGAGTTTGGAAAAAAAATTGTTTTTGTTTTAACAAGAAGTAGCTCTGTTAAATAAAAGAATATTAGTGTTTTACGCGTCACACTTCTTTTTTGAATCTTTAGAACTAAATTTGTTTAGATAATAGCCTGCTTCTCTCTCTCTTGACAGCTTGAATAAGTATATATCTATAGTGATGGATCAAATAAAAAGGAGGTTACTCAAATACCCTAGATTAAACTGAAAGTTAAAATATTCATATAGTTGAAAACAAAAGAAATCAAAAACTATCATTAGTTACTATCAAAACAAATATTAGGAAGAGAGTAATTTGCAACAATTGATTTTATATACTTGAATTAATGTATGAATTGGCATTAAAAAGAAATTGATGCTAACCCACTCCGGAAACTATTGAAATTAGCAGAGAGATTATTTCGAAATTTCGGTGAGTGCCGAATAAAATACAAAACTTCTTCTTATATATTTATATAACGTTATCTGTAAGTGAATATGGTGCAATTGCATCAAAGTTCTAATCTATTCTTCATCGTCGCATCGTCTAAAATATATTGCTTTTTTGATTTATGAAAAACGCGTTTTATAAAATATGCAAATGTTAACTAGCGAAGTTATATTATCATAACTCGCTATAGCTAGCTAATCGAAATAATCGATACACATAGATGAGCAATTCGCGATGAATGAATAAATTTGTAGAAATCTTACAGCCAAAATCTTTTAAACATAGATGTTAACAAGACAATTATATGTTCCTACAAAATATAGAATTTAAATACACTTAACAGGCAGAACTATATGCTATATGCATGATTTATAGTCTAATTCTTTCGAAGAATTCTTTTAATATAACTTTTTCATTCATTTTTATCGAGTTTTCTCCTTATACTTATCACTGTCATGTAAAAGAGACAATTTTCTTTCTATAGAATAATCTTCCAGTATATAGAAAAATTGCTTATTCTGAGGCATTTCTAAAAAGAATTTTACTCGAAACAGTCGAAATTATTTCATATACTAGCTATACTCAAGAGAGAGAAAAAGAGAGAGATCTCCTTTAATTCTTATGTTTTCTCTTCTAGTTAATATTCCTGCTTATGCTAAATGGAAACAGAATGGTGTGACTGTTGCTGGAGGTAACGGGATAGGGAATGCCACTAATCAACTCTGGTACCCCAATGGCCTCTTCGTTGATGATGATCAAACAGTGGTTATTGCTGACTACTCGAATAATCGTATCATCCAATGGAAGAACGGTGACACAGCGAATGGACAAGTTGTTGCTGGTGGCAAAGGCGCAGGAAGAGGATTACATCAATTGAATCAGCCAATTGATGTGTTAATTGACAAAGAGACGGATAGTCTCATTATTTGTGATTATGGGAATGGACGAGTTGTACGATGGTCTCGTCGTAGTGGCACAACACAAGGTGAAATACTCATCGACAACATCAATTGTAATGGATTAGCAATGGATGAGCAGAGAAATCTCTACGTTTCTGACTGGAAAAAACATGAAGTGAGACGATATAAATTGGGTGAAAAGAATGGCACTCTCGTAGCTGGTGGTAATGGTGAAGGTGATGGACTAAATCAACTCAACGGACCAACATATCTTTTTGTCGATCGAGATCATTCAGTCTACGTATCAGACAACGAGAATCATCGTGTAATGAAATGGGTGGAAGGTGCAAAAGTAGGTATTTTGGTCGCTGGAGGACAAGGCGCAGGGAGTGCTCTGACACAATTGTATTATCCTCAAGGACTCTTCGTTGATAAGTTGGGTACACTGTATGTAGCAGACTCGGTGAATCATCGTGTAATACGTTGGACTAAAGGAGTAAAACAAGGCACGGTAATTGCGGGTGAAAATGGCGCCGGAGCAGGAGCAAATCAGTTCAACTACCCCTGTGGTTTGTCTTTCGATCGACATGGTAATCTTTATGTCGCCGATTTGAATAATCATCGTGTTCAACGATTTTCTATCGAATAAGAATTGTGAATTGTTTTTTCTTTCTTCGTTTCTTTTTCTATACTTTGAAATAAATGAACAGAAAAAAGAAATTTTCTTTTACTCTTTCACTTCAACGAAAAGAAAAAGCTAAATATAAGATTACATCATATGTTTATTTTCTTGTTCTTTTATTTGCTTGTTAAATGAAAAGAAATGAATTAAATAAAATAATTTGTATTATTTAAACAAAAATAAAATTTGAATTATTTTGAAAAATTTCAGTAGTAAAATGAAAAAATATTTTTAGTAAAATACAATAATTTATTGGTAAAATAATTATTATTAGTAAAATGAAAAAAAATTTGTTATTTTGAAAATTTTCATTATTTGGAAATTTTGTATATTTTGAAAATTATTTATTATTTAAAAGAAAAAAAAAGGACGGGGGACGTTAACAGCCGAAATCGGCCCCCTGTCCAAACACGACTTTTTCGTTTTCATTATGCTAGTTTTGACGCTACATCGACATTTTGAGTCACATTTTATCATTATATCAAATCTAGACATCATTTGCATTACTTTTTCTATTGCACTAAAATCCACTGTATTTCCCTTGGGGAGCCGATCATTTTAATAAAATATTTCAGTTATCATAGTTACTACTTATTTTAATTTACCCGTCAGATTGTAGCCCTTTTCACGCTCTCTCTGATGGTATGTCAACATATGAGAACACCTACTGAATTCAATTTGACACCGTCGGCATATCATACAAAAGTTGTAGAAAAACTGAATACCGATCATAATACTTCTCGCGAAAGACTCAGGTGCTAATGTCGGTCCACGCTTATTTACGTATCATTCGATAGAGAATTTCAAGATCTATCAAATGATTAGAAAAAATGTTGGAAAATGAGTGGGTAACAATAAAATGACCTTCGACAGACTATACATGCATATAAAAAAAATGTAATTTTTCCTCATAACGACGGTGGTGCGATCGGTGGAAAAACGTCGGTCCACTCTTATTTACGTATCATTCGATAGAGAACTTCGAGATCTATCAAATGATGATCAACCTCTGACAGGGAAGTATAAGTAAAAGGATACAGTACTGTGTTTTTCCAAATTTTAGGAGTTCGTCGCAGTAAGTATCTATAAGAAAAGCGGATGTTGAAGCTTTTGTCTGATTTTGAAATATTTAACTTGGTTTGGGTGATAGCCCTCTGTGTGCAGTTTATTCTTTTGAAAACAGTTTCGTTTTTCGTATGTTTATAAAGATTGAATGTTGAAATGTTTATGCTAACGAGTATCGTTGTGAATCATCATCATCAGACGAATCATAGAAATCTGAGACTTGTATTGAATCTGTAGTTAAGTTTTTGTATTCGCCCGATGGCATATGACGCTGTTGTGTTTGCCATCGTTGATAGGAAAGAAACCAAATGGCTGAAGCTATATGACTTCAGCAGCCTAGAAATCGTGCACCAGTGAAGCAATCGCACCACCAGCCTAGAATTGCTTGATCAGTAAAGTGGATTGTTGGATGATAGGTAACTCGATTACTATGTGCAGATTGAGTAGGAATACGAATCAAATTTGGAATAATTTTACATCGGTGTACACTGTAAGCTACGGCACTGGTTAGATTGGTAGTTGAGCAGCGCTCCTCGGCATAAGAACGTGCTCGTTTCAATTGAAAAACACCTATAAAAACAGATAGTTGTGAGAAATTGAATGAAGATTCATTACCGAAAGTGAGATCTCCTAGATCGTCTTGTGTCATAATAGGAAAACCATCTATGATTTCTGTATGATTAATTATTTCCCATAGAGAAAACCGCCTGATTAGATTATTTTCTTCTAAGAGCTAAATAAGGACATAATACAAGTTGCAGAAAAACTTATGTTAAAAATTATTACGAGTTGAATTTTATTTTTTTGTTGGCGTAATTGCATTACTTGTACACCTATCTCTTCATCTTCCAGTTTAGATCTTGTCATAGGTGGTTGATAATGATTGATGAGAGCGCAAGCAATTGACATATCAGATTCTAAGTACACTAGGGACGAGTTTTGAATGGTATTCGCAAAGTACTTAAATTCTTTGAGTCGACGGTTAGCGGCTTCCACGACCCAGCGTATTTTTGTGATGCATCTTGATTCATTAGCTTCTTCGGCTGAAAATTGACGTCTGCCATCAAGAAATGATGGCATAATAGCCTCCAACCCAAGAGCTTTCATAACACCAATAGAGTCTCTAAACCCTCTATCAACCACCAGTATGTCATGCTAAAGAAGAAAATTATATTAAGGTTTTCCTTAGAAAAATATTACTTCTTTTAGCCAACTTAAAATGTGATCGGTATTGCGAAGTAAAATATCTTTCATTATCGCAGCATCGTTGTTGTTAAAATCAGACAGGAACGGTCCAATACAAGCCACGCTATAACCTGTAGTTGTTACAATCATCATTGGCTTTAATAAGGATCTTTTCTTATATAAATTAAAAGTCTTTCTTTGAAATTCATTATTTCGAGACTTCTAGAATTTAACATAAAATAAATTCATTACAAAAAGCAATTATTTCACCTGAATATAAAGATACGTTCCATCAATAATAATTATTGCTGTATCAGTACTGTCACCACCGCACATTAGTTCTCGAGCTATTGTTGTGGTATGGTGACCAATAACATCTTCACGAGTAACATGTCCAAAACCTAAATTATCTGATAAAAAACTCTTTACAATAGCTTGACGTGCACTATTTATGATTCGAGACACTGTTCGTTTGTCTGCTATTTGAAACATGCAAGCTAATAGTCTATTTGAAATACCAAGACGAAGTTTACATAAATAAATGCCGACCGCAGTTCTTATCGATCGATTGCAGGAGGGGCGAATAGTAGATGAAGAAACGATTTGGACAAAATCATTAAAGTTGTCTCTTGAGAGACTAGTTAGTAAACAATATTCATCATCATTAAGATCTCTTGGATCATCGAAACTAAATCTTTTCTTGCCATTTTCAAATAAAGTCTGAGCTTTGTTTAAAAGAAGTTGAACATCCGACGAGCTTAATTCTTGATATCGTATTGAGAAAGGTTTAATCTGATCAACAGCTTCTTTTGATAATAGATTATTAATTAAATGGCCTGAGCAACATCGTGCCCCTACTGGTATCCAAATATTACGTGAAAAAAATATAAAATCTCTATCCTGAGATGTGATTTTCACCGAATGATCACGGAGATTTTCACGACAAACACAGCATTTCCTAGTGAAAATACATTACACATCTGTTTTCTTCATTAAATTTTTTTTCTTACGTATGGGAAGATGAAGTCGCATTTAGCTGTAACTTAACTTCTTGATGATTTGTATTTGTAATCAAAGTTGGATTTTCCACAGTTGTTAAACGAGACGAATCATCAGTTTGAACCTGGACGTCCATAAACTGATACTTAAAAACGAAAAATCAACATAAATACAATCATATAAAAACAAATTACCGAATCACTATTCGCATTATCATTGATCACTAACATATCATTTTCGAAATGATCAAGCATTGCAGAGAATTTTGAATTTTCACTTTTCCACTTGATGTATAAATGTCGGCAAACATTGCACACCTTTTGATCGTAAGAAAGTGATTTAAGAGTACGAATAGACATAAACATTCTGAGGCATGGTGACTTCAGTGGTCGGACACAAGAACTGCGATCAAGACGAGCACCACACGGACAACAACGTTCATTCATTATAACCGTTTGTGTATTAAACGTTCACAATAGGGATACACACTAAGACAGTGACCTTAAATGAAATGTCTGCCTTACTTCGCGATAAGTTCATATATGACCGGATAACTAAACATAACTATATAAAGAAATGAATCATGAAAGCTTTTCTTTCTACCATGTATGACTCAATTAGTAGAGCGAAACACTAAACAGTCAATAGTACATGCATCTCGTAATAAAGTAATGTTGTCTACAAATATCTTTCAATTAAAAAAAAGTATACTGCATAAAAAGATAAATCTCTTTATTCATCTCTGCTACTAACACCAATATACGTAAATAAAAATTAGAATATCGAACCAAGGAGAAAAAACGACACAAACAAAATTCTCAATAAAAGAAACAGAACTGTCTTTCTGCACATTGTTTGTATATATTTTATCATCATTTGATAGATCTCGAAATTCTCTATCGAATCATACGTAAATAAGAGCGGACCGACGTTTTCCCATTGATTGCACCACCGTCGTTATGAGGAAAAATTACATTTTTTTATATGCATGTATAGTCAGTCGAAGGTCATTTTATCGTTACCCACTCTTTTTTCTACATTTTTTCTAATCATTCGATAGATCTCGAAATCCTCTATCGAATCATACGTAAATAAGAGTGGACCGACATTAGCACCTGAGTCTTTCGCGAGAAGTATTATGATCGGTATTCACCTTTTCTACAACTTTTGTAGGATATGCCGACGGTGTCAAATTGAATTCAGTAGGTTTTCTCATATGTTAACATACCATCAGAGAGAGCGTGAAAAGGGCTACAATCTGACGGGTAAATTAAAATAAGTAGTAACTAAGATAACTGAAATATTTTATTAAAATGATCGGCTCCCCAAGGGAAATACAGTGGATTTTAGTGCAATAGAAAAAGTAATGCAAATGATGTCTAGA